CTAATGGTTATTTTTTCTTTTATGTTTAGGTCCTGAACTGCTGAATTGGATATTTTAAAGCTGCTTGCTTCAAAAATTTTTTTTCATTTATAAGTCTCTGTTATTTGTTAGAATCGAACTAATTGGAACAATGTCTAAACTATTAACAACATATAAATTTGTAATATAGAATAATTAGTGTAGTTTTAATTAATATATAAATATATATATAGTATAATTTGTAATACTTTTATTAAATAAATTGACACTAGTGTTCTGAACAGATCGAATCAGATCAGATTTGAGATGAATCTGATTTAATTTGAATTCAGATAAAAAAAAATGAATTCGATCTGATCCAAATTCAGATTAAAAAAAAATAGATCTGATTTGATCCGAATTTGAAACAGACTTGATTTGATTCAATTTGAATTCAATTCAGATTTATCTGATCTGATCTGAATCCAAAATGTTTTGCAATGTTTTTTTAACAATTTTAATAAAAAACTGTTGCAAAACATTTTTTATTTTCAGTTTAATGAAGAAAAACTGTTTTGCAACAGTTTTTTAACTATTTTAATAAAAAAATGTTGTAAAACGTTTTTTATTTTTAATTTATCAAAAAAATAATATTTTGCAACATTTTTTTAACAATTTTAATAAAAAAAATGTTGTGAACTATTTTTTATTTTTAATTTAAAGAAATGTTTTTTATTATTAATTTATTGAAAAAAAATGTTTTGCAACATTTTTTAACGATTTTAATAAAAAATATTGCAAAATGTTTTTTATTATTAATTTATCAAAAAAATATTTCACAACATTTTTTTCTTCAATAAATTAATAATAAAAAATGTTTTGCAATATTTTTTATTAAAATAGTAAAAAAAACTGTTGTGAAATGGTATTTTTTATTTTAAATTAAAAATAAAAAATGTTTCATAACGTTTTTTATTAAAATTGTTAAAAAAACATTGCAAAATATTTTTTTTGATAAATTAATAATAAAAAACGTTTTACAACATTTTTTATTAAAAATTTAAAATAGTTAAAAAACTATTGCGAAATAATATTTTTTATTTTAAATTAAAAATAAAAAATGTTTCACAACATTTTTTATTAAAATAGTTAAAAAACCGTTATAAAATAGTATTTTTTATTTTAAATTAAAAATAAAAAACATTTTGCAACATTTTTATTTACCATTTTGCAATAGTTTTGAATTGGATCTGATCCAGATCCGTTTGAATCAATCTGATCTGATTTGATTTTAATGAATTGTTGATCTGATCTGATTCGATCTAAAACGGATTAAATTTTTTTGATTCAGATCAGATCATAAATCATATAATATATAGTTCGATCCAATCTGTCATGGATCAGATCTATAAATACAAATCAAATCAGTTTTTTTTGGAACACTAATTGACACACATTAAAACAATAGCAAATAATTGAATTTGAGTTGTTTTGTTTTGTAAAATTTTGTGCAGATTTTTTAACACTTGCAGATTTATGCAAATTTTATTAAAAATTTTACTCTAACACATATTAACAGGGTAGCAGATTTGCGCAGAAATTTAGGCCAGAGATCTTTGCAGATTTTCATCCTAAAAAATTTATCAATATCATATCTATTTAATTAAAAAAGAAAATTTAAAATATTTGAAATAATAAAATTATTTAACATATATATTAAAAAATTAAATAAAAGAACTTATTACTTAATATAATAAAAAATTTTTATTACCGTATTCTTCCGTTTTTAAGCACCACCTTTTTAGGAGAAAATTTTTGCGAAAGTTTAAGGTGGTGCTTAAAATCGGAAGTTTTTTTTTTACACTTTTTTTTGCGTTTTTAGTCATATTTGTAATGTAATGGATGGGTCAGAAGATGATTTGTTTGGACAAGATGAAAAAGAGGAGGAAATTGATAAAAATGAAAGGGAAATTGTAGATATAGATAGTGATTCAGCTGATGAATTAAATGAATTGTAAAATGATGCATCATAAAAATAAAATTTATTTTGAATAAAATATAAAAAATTTTCAAATTTGAGGTGGTGCTTATTTTTGTTTTTCAAGTTTTTTTGGCAAAAGTTGGGGTGGTGCTTAAATTCGGGTGGTGCTTAAAAATGGAAGAATACGGTAATTATAGAAAAAAATGGAATAGGTTCTATGATCACCAGACATTGAAAATAGAGCTTTTATGGCTAAGATGACCTATTACTAAATGAAGTTTACTTACAGAATCAAACGATTACTCAAGGTATAATGAGTGATTTGTAGTTTAATTATATTAGAGTAGTTATTAAGGAATTTTACTTTGTATATATTTTCTTTATTTTTTTACTTTAATAAAACTGCAAATGCGCTGCAGAAAAAAAAAAAATAAAAATAAAAAAAATGGAATGTAATATTTATGTTTTTTTTAATAAAAATTTAAATAATATTTTAGATTTTAAAAAGAAGATATATATTAATACTTTAAAAAAAGTTTTATAGCTTTATAAAAATAATGTAAAAAATATATAAGAACTACTAATAATTTTTTGATTAATAAATTTTTTAAAATAATGGTGTATAATATTTTGTAAAAAATAATATAATTATTATTATATTTATAGTGCTCTGAAACAAGTCAAGTTAATTTACAAGTTAATCAAGTCAAGTCAAATCAAGTCAAATTGAAAATTACAATTAAATCGAATCAAGTCAAGTCAAGTTAATAATTTAATAAAACTGAGTCGAATCGAATCAAATCAAATTAACTTATAATTCTGGCTAAAATTATGGAATTTCCTTTTTTAGAAGCTATATTACACAAAATTTAAATTTTTGAAATTTACAAAAATGGAATTTTGTGAAATGGCTATTGCCAAAAAAAGGAAATGATTGGCATAGCTGAAAAATATAAATTAATGGTTTTAAACTGATAAAAATTGTTAATTATTAAGTAAACTATTATCTATTTATTTTTAATTATTATATTGATGCAATATTACTATTTTATTAATCAAAAATAATAAGGGAAGTGACACATATGACGTAATTATAATCAAAAATAATAAGGGAAGTGACACATATGACGTAATTATTAAAGGGTTATTAAATCTGACACCAATTAAATCTGACAAGGAGGGGAGGGGGGTAGAATTTATAGTAAAATGAATATGACGTAATATGTGTCACTTCCCTAATATCTAATATATAAAAAATTAAATTAACAATAGAAAATATAAATTAATAGTTTTAAACTGATAAAAATTATTAATTATTGAATAAACTATTATCTATTTTTAATTGTCATATTGATGCAACTTTACTATTCTATTAATCAGAAATAATAATATATAAAAATTTATATAATAAAAAAATATATAAAAAGCCTATTAATTTCTTTTTTTTTTTTAATATTTTGTAAAAAAAAAATTACTAGTAATTACTATTCATTTTAAAGAATTCAAAAAATACTTTTTACTATTGAAACTAAAATGCCAAACTTAAAAAATTGAAGAATAAATAGGTGTTACTTAAAATATTTTAATTATATATTTTCAGATGATTAAACTTAATAACTTAAAATCATTGTTACTTATCATGGAAAACAAATTATGATACTTAAAAAGCATTTTTACTATTGAAGCTAAAATGCCTAAAGTTACTAAGAAATGATATAATTTAAAGATTAAATGCTAAATTTGAAAAAAGTGTTAACTTAATAATAGATAGAAACAAAAAATTTTATGTTCATTATTATATTTAAGATGGAGAATTTTATGTTTATTATTATACTGGTTATATAAGGTAATATGACTATAAATTTCTTGAATTTAGAGTTTTACACTAGTAAATATAATATAACTTTAAAATCAAGTATGGCAATGAAGATACATTTAAAGAAATACTTGAATTAAACTAAGTATACAAACTCAATATAATACAGAAGTAATATAAAGATTAATTTTATATTTGACTTATTTACTAAAACAAGTTCAATAAAGTGATCAAAAAAGTGGTTACTAGTATAACTTATACTTGTAATACTTATGAATAGGCAATTGAAGTTTTACTTGATTATACTGGTTATATAAGGTAATATGACTATAAATTTCTTGAATTTAGAGTTTTACACTAGTAAATATAATATAACTTTAAAATCAAGTATGGCAATGAAGATACATTTAAAGAAATACTTGAATTAAACTAAGTATACAAACTCAATATAATACAGAAGTAATATAAAGATTAATTTTATATTTGACTTATTTACTAAAACAAGTTCAATAAAGTGATCAAAAAAGTGGTTACTAGTATAACTTATACTTGTAATACTTATGAATAGGCAATTGAAGTTTTACTTGATAAAGAAGCTAAAAATATGTCTTTGAAATATGCTGAATTAGAATATAAACTAAAGAAAATTGATAGAACAAGAATACTATATACTCATACATCTTAATTTTGTAATTTAAGAATAGTATTAATTATTTTTCTGGAGAAATATATTGGATTAGAATATAAATTAAGAAAAATTAATAGAGCAAGAATACTCTATATGTTCACACATCTCAATTTTGTAAAATAGTATTATTTTTCTAAAAAGAAATATGCTAAATTAGAATATAAACTAGGGAAAATTGATAGAGCAAGAACACTATATGTTCACACATCTCAATTTTGTAATTTAAGAATAGTATTATTTTTCTGAAAAGAAATATGCTAAATTAAAATATAAACTAAGAAAAATTGATAAAACAAGAACACTATATGCTCACACATCTTAATTTTATAATTTAAGGATAGTATTACTTTTCTGAAAAAAAAATATGTTGAATTAGAATATTGCTCACACATCTTAATTTTATAATTTAAGGATAGTATTACTTTTCTGAAAAAAAAATATGTTGAATTAGAATATAATTACTAGGGGAAATTGATAGAACAAGAATACTATATGTTCACACATCTCAATTTTGTATCAAAATTAGCAACAAATGGAATACTTGCTTAATTAGTTTGATGTTTTATTTTAGAGAAGCTGTTGTACATACTCGCAAGCTTTTGGACATAATTGTGAAAGCAGAAAATAAGATTCAAACTAGATTTAAAATTGGTCTCAACAGTAAAATGCCTAGCCATTTTCCAGTACACGTTTTTTATTGTCTAAAAGAATTGGGTGGTTTTGGAATGTTGTTAATGAGATATGTGCTTATTCTTCAATCAGATCTACGCTGGAGTAAACAAACAGAAATACAGATTACGCATTTTTGTGCAGGAATATTACACGAAGAAGATCAATTGATTCCTAATCTTTTTTAATATTTCCAGCTGTAGGAATCTGATTTCATTGATTTCTAATGTGTATAGGCAGAATATGCGCTTAAGCATCAAGACCAAAATAGAAGATTGACACTTGAAGATCTTGAAAATTTTTGGAATAGAGGATTATCTAGAATAAATACATTATTTTTAAAAGATAAGTATACCCTTATATATGATAAAGGATGGCAGATTAGAAATGATTTTAAATAATATCAGGTGTTAAAGAATAACCCATTTTATTGGACTAGCTCGCATCATAATGGTAAATTTTGGTCACTTAACAATTATCATACTGATATCATTTAAGCACTTGGTGGTAATACATTTAAAGAAATGCCACTTAACAATTATCGTACTGACATTATTTAAACACTTGGTGGCGATACATTTAAAGAAATGCTTGAATTAAGCTAAGTATACAAGCTCAATATAATACAAAAGTAATATAAAGATTAATTTTATATTTGTCTTATTTACTAAAACAAGTTCAATAAAGTGATCAAAAAAGTGGTTACTAGTATAACTTATACTTGTAATATTTATGAATAGGCAATTGAAGTTTTATTTGATAAAGAAGCTAAAAATATGTCTTTGAAATATGCTGAATTAGAATATAAGAGAAATTGATAGAGCAAGAACACTATATGCTCATACATCTCAATTTTGTAACAAAATCAGTAACAAATGGAATACTTGCTTAATTGGTTTGATATCTTATTTTAGAGAAGCTGTCATACATACTTGCGAGCTTTTAGACATAATTGTAAAAGCAGAAAATAAGATTCAAATTAGAATTAAGATTAGTCTTAACAGTAAAATGCCTAGCCATTTTCCAGTATATGTTTTTTATTGTCTAAAAGAATTGGATGGTCTTGAAATGTTGTTAATGGGAAACGTGCTTATTCCTCAATCAAATTTACGCTAGAGTAAATAAACAGAAATGCAGATTATGCATTTTTATACAGGAATATTATATGAAGAAGATCAATTAATTTCTAATCTTTTTTGATATCTTCAGCCATATAGGAATCTGATTTTATTGATTCCTAACATGTATGGGCAGAATATGCGCTCAAACGTCAAAAAGCTAATGCTCAAAATAGAAGATTGACACTTGAAGATCTTGGATAGAAGATTACCTAGAATAAATACATTATTCTAAAAGATAGGTATATCCTTGTATATGATAAAGAATAGTGAGTTAGAAATGATTTTAAATAATATCAGATGTTAAAGAATAACCCATTCCATTAGACTAGCTCGCGTCATGATAGTAAAATCTGGTCATTCAACAATTATCATACTGATGTTATTTAAGTATTTGGTGGCGATAGGGCTCTGATCGGTTTCGATAATTACTGAACTGAACTGATCAGTTTCGGTATCGGAACGATTTCGGTATTTTGATTTACTGAACTGAAACTTTTGGTAAATTTACCGATCAGTTTTGGTAATTTCAGTTTCGATATCAGTTTTGCGATTTACCGAACTGAATTACTGAACTGATACTTTCGGTATCAGTTTCAGTAAATTTTACTGATCATTTCAGTAAATTTACTGAACCGATTTGCTGAACTTTTCACTTTTTTTTTGATAAGTTTTGCAAAGTTTTTTTTGATAATTTACTAAAAATGTTGCGAAATGTTCAATTTATATACTTCTTCGCATTATTTTTACTAACATACACTGGTAAAAAAATGATTTATCCTACACATATCTTACACATATTGGGTACTCAAAATGTAGAAAATCATACACAAATAATACACATATCATACACATATCGGGTACTAATATATATATCATACATATATCAGGTACCTGATAGGTATACTATATATATAAGTACCCGATATGTGTATGATATGTGTATTATTTGTGTATGATTTTCTACATTTTGAGTACCTGATATATGTAAGATATGTGTAGGATATGTGTAGGATAGACCATTTTTTTACCAGTGATAATGTATTTTAATAAATAGTTTATTTAACATTTAACAAGTAATTTGTTTAACAATAATTATGACAGTTTTAATATATTAAAGCCATTTTTTATTAGTATTAAATTAAAATTTTATTAAAATTGGATTAGACTTACAAAAAAAAGTAAAAGAACGTTAATAAACGTTCTTACATAAAGAAAAATTAAAAATCTGCTTCCTCCCTTTGAAAATACTCACCACCAGTCTCTATTTCTGAATTTCAGGCTAAAATCTACAAAAAAAATTAGTAAAAAAATGTTAATAAACGTTCTTACATGAAGAAATATAAAAAACCCCACTTTTCCTTTTAGAAATACTCACTGGTCTCCATTTTCAAGTTCCAGGCTAAAATCTACAAAAAAAGAAGTAAAGGAACGTTAATAAACGTTCTTACATAAAGAAAAACAAAAAAACCCTCCTACTTCCCTAAATACTCACCGGTCTTCATTTTCGAATTACAGGCTAAAATCTACAAAAAAAAGGAAGTAAAAGAACGTTAATAAACGTTCTTGCATAAATAAAATAAAAAAAAACCCACCACTTCCCTTTTTTAAAATTACTCATCGGTCCCCATTTCTGAGTTTCGGGCCAAAATTTACAAAAAATAAAAATAAAAGAATGTTAATAAATGTTCTTACATAAAGAAAACAAAAAAAACTCCTTACTTCCCAAATACTTACCGGTCTCCATTTCCGAGTTGCAGGCTAAAATCTACAAAAAAAAGAAGTAAAGAACGTTAATAAACGTTCTTACATAAAAAAAAACAAAAAAAACCTCCTCCTGCTTTCCCCTTTAAAAACACTTACTGATCCTCATTTTCAAGTTCTCAGGCCGAAATCTGTAAAAAGGAAAAAAGTAAAAGAACATTAATAAACGTTCTTACATAAGAAACCCCAAAAAAACTCGCTTTCACCTTTTAAAAATACTCACCGGTCTCCATTTCCAAGTTCCGGCTAAAATCTATAAAAAAAAAGTAATAAAAGAACGTTAATAAACGTTCTTACATAAAAAAACAAAAAATTTTTAGAGACACTTACCCGTCTCTATTTCCAAGAATCAAAAAAAAAAATATTTTTTTTTTAAAAAAAATTTGTTCACTACCGTAATTAGGTGTAGATCGGCCAATTANAAACGTTTTTAATAGAAAATGTTGCAAAACGTTTTTAATAGAAAATGTTGCAAAACGTTTTTAATAGAAAATGTTGCAAAACGTTTTTAATAGAAAATGTTGCAAAACGTTTTTAATAGAAAATGTTGCAAAACGTTTTTAATAGAAAATGTTGCAAAACGTTTTTAATAGAAAATGTTGCAAAACGTTTTTAATAGAAAATGTTGCAAAACGTTTTTAATAGAAAATGTTGCAAAACGTTTTTAATAGAAAATGTTGCAAAACGTTTTTAATAGAAAATGTTGCAAAACGTTTTTAATAGAAAATGTTGCAAAACGTTTTTAATAGAAAATGTTGCAAAACGTTTTTAATAGAAAATGTTGCAAAACGTTTTTAATAGAAAATGTTGCAAAACGTTTTTAATAGAAAATGTTGCAAAACGTTTTTAATAGAAAATGTTGCAAAACGTTTTTAATAGAAAATGTTGCAAAACGTTTTTAATAGAAAATGTTGCAAAACGTTTTTAATAGAAAATGTTGCAAAACGTTTTTAATAGAAAATGTTGCAAAACGTTTTTAATAGAAAATGTTGCAAAACGTTTTTAATAGAAAATGTTGCAAAACGTTTTTAATAGAAAATGTTGCAAAACGTTTTTAATAGAAAATGTTGCAAAACGTTTTTAATAGAAAATGTTGCAAAACGTTTTTAATAGAAAATGTTGCAAAACGTTTTTAATAGAAAATGTTGCAAAACGTTTTTAATAGAAAATGTTGCAAAACGTTTTTAATAGAAAATGTTGCAAAACGTTTTTAATAGAAAATGTTGCAAAACGTTTTTAATAGAAAATGTTGCAAAACGTTTTTAATAGAAAATGTTGCAAAACGTTTTTAATAGAAAATGTTGCAAAACGTTTTTAATAGAAAATGTTGCAAAACGTTTTTAATAGAAAATGTTGCAAAACGTTTTTAATAGAAAATGTTGCAAAACGTTTTTAATAGAAAATGTTGCAAAACGTTTTTAATAGAAAATGTTGCAAAACGTTTTTAATAGAAAATGTTGCAAAACGTTTTTAATAGAAAATGTTGCAAAACGTTTTTAATAGAAAATGTTGCAAAACGTTTTTAATAGAAAATGTTGCAAAACGTTTTTAATAGAAAATGTTGCAAAACGTTTTTAATAGAAAATGTTGCAAAACGTTTTTAATAGAAAATGTTGCAAAACGTTTTTAATAGAAAATGTTGCAAACCGTTTTTAATAGAAAATGTTGCAAAACGTTTTTTATCTGTTAATTTAATTTAAAAAAACGTTTTACAACGTTTTTTTTGATAATTTAATAAAAACGTTGCGAAATATTTTTAAAACTGAACTGATAATGAATTGGTAAATCAGTTCAGTTTTTGGTAATTACCGGTCGGTAATGGTATTTATGATTACTGAAACTGATCAGTTTCAGTAATTAGCAATACCGTTACTGATCAATTCAGTTCAGTTTCAGTTTTGGCAAAAACCATACTGAACCGAACTGATCAGAGCCCTGATTTGGACTTATGAAAAAAATGATGATGATAAAAATGTTATCTGTCAAAAATGTAAATGAGAAGATTTAGATGGTGTTAATATTTTACCAAATTTTACTTTAGACATAGAATTTGTTGAAAAAATTATCTCGCATAAACAAAAATCACCATTTACTTACCATAATTTGCTATATACACCAAGACAAGGTATGTATATGTTTGCATCATTTTCATATTAATCTATCCTAATATTTCACTCTTTTATAGTAGGTATAGGTAGAACTATGTTTTTGATAACTGAAGGAGATGGAGCTAACAGTTATGAAGGAATCGATCTCAGCAATCCTGATATCTGCAAACGTGAGCAGATAATCCATAAACTTGTAGAGAAAATTGAAAAAGTACGTTTTTTACTTATTTAGTCTCCACCTATGTTTAGAAAAACCTTATTGGCCCAACTATTAGATCAACACCTAATTAAAAATTTCAGCATACGAGTCATTCGCATTTCCATCTTATGGATGAGCAATCCTAGTAGATCCTAGATATTTTAGGTGAATTTTGACGACTTATAGATATAACTTGAGAAAAATTTTAAAAAAAGTGTATTCATATTAAGACTATATTTATTGTTGATGAAGTCCAGATATGAAGTTTATCTCTTTGTTTTGAATTAATATAGATTCTAATATTTTTGGATATTAGATGTTTTATGTGTCCAAGGTGAACTTAAGACTGCTTCGCATCATAATGGTAATGTCTTTTGGAAAATGATCAAGTGGTATCAACAGATCGGTAACTTACATATTGTTGCTTTTATTACATATGGCTACAAGGATGTATGGGATCATACATCTGCAACTCGTACAATAGATGTGTCACCTTTTGTGGTTCCTAGAGAGAATATATGGAGTATAAAAGATGTGCACTTCACTAAAGACGAATATGAAGATTACTTTTTATGCTTTTGCAAAAAATAATTGAAGATGAAAATGATATTAGATACTTAAAGGAGTATGTGCATAATACAACAGCTTGTCATTCTGGACTTGTCACGTTTTTCATGAATCATATTAAGGATCATTTCTCCTCGCAACTGAAATATGATGATAAGTTGACATTTGAAAAGATTTTCTTGTACTTAAAGTTATATAGGTTTATAAGGATAGTAGATGAGGCAAGTGTCTTAATTTCATTTTGCACTAGGAAAAAGGATTATATCATTGTATTTATTAATCCTGTTTTTGCAGGGCTTTTATGGGTATTTACATATGTATAATTTTACTTCAAAGGAAGTAGAACTTTGTGATAGGGTACTCCGAGGATCCATTGATATCATCAGACAGTCATATAATACATCCAGTAACACAACAGAAAAAGAGAAGAGGTTAGTAACATCAAAAAAAATTTTAAAGTGATGGCATATATGTTCCTATCTTTAAACACACAAAACAGTAGGTGATTATTGATATTTGAAATAGTAAGATGAAAGCTTCAGGACCAGAAAAACATAGAAGAAATAATATTTATATTATTTGTGCTAAAAATTTTGAATCTGTTCAGCTAATATATCATAATGAAAATAAAGAAAATTTGTTAAAAAGAGTGATTAAGTGCAAGAAGTACTTTCAAATGGATTGTTTAATGATTTCTTTTAAATCAACTTTTATCCTTATCCTAAACCAATGTCTTATTACTACAAACAAATACAACAATTTACTTTCTATTATTAGCATTATTTTTAATTATATAACTAAAGTTTCTGAATTCTATGTCTTCTTCTTTATGCTATTCCTCTTACCCTAATTTCTTCCCTTATTCTAATAATCCCTTATCCTAATTTACCTTAATCTCTCTCCTTACATTAATAATCAATTTGCTTATGTTATTTTACATAATAACAATAGGCTTTCATACATACTTTCAATAACATACTTAAAAACTTTTATAGCTCTCTTCCATTTGGAAGCTTGATCCTTAAATTTGCCTATTAAAAAAAAAAAATTAGGACCAAAAAGTTTTAATCGTCAAAAATAATGTAAGACAAACCTCACTAATAGTAACATCCAAAATTTTCCATATCAGTTGTATTCTTCAAATGTAAAGTTAAGGGTTTTCCAAATGTTTTGCAACAACAGTATGAATATTTATAATGCAATGTCCAACCTAGCTAAAAATTCTGGTCAATGTTGCCTTTCCAGTCCCATATTCCCATATTCTTTACAAATAATATCATTGATCTTCATAAGGCTGAAGAATATTTCGTAATTGCAGGTCAAGGAATATACTTGTCACTTGAAATTTCACTTCAGGTCAATTACCTTTTCATTACATTTGTTCTAATACAAAGAATAAAGATATGAAAATATCAGCGCGATCTACAATAGCAAATACGTGATAAAGAACTTGACATGCAAACAAACTATAACTCATTTCAGGTACGAAACAACACAATCCACATTCTTCATCCTCATGTATAATGTGACGATTCAAGCATACGAGGGTTTGAACGCAATTTTTGATTGTTGGAGGAACAGTGATTTGAGGAGGTGGATTAATTATTTATCTGTTACATCGATCGACAGAAACACGCGATCATATTGTTCAGGTAATCACATATTTATTAAGAAACTGATGAGCCAATATACACTGTACTGTACATATAAAATGAGAAAATTGAAACCGACTAACACGTTCAAAAGACTTAATAATAACGTGGATTGTAGTAAGAGTGCTAGGCATACTGAGAATGAATAATCAAATACATATTTTAAATAATGAAAAAATTCAAAAACTTCGGGAAAAGAAATTGGAAATGACATAAATGAATCATAAAGCATAGAAATCTTATTGCTTACTATATTTTTATATTTAGAATTTGAAGTTTAGTGAATGAATTGAACAAATAATTTATTAATGTTATAATAATTAAAGTTTTGGCCGTTTTGAATCATCTAAATCACCAATATAGAAAGTTGCCAACCTCTTTTTGGCTTTATCAGAATGAATTGCGTTAAATTCTTCAGAACAATCAGTACCGGCATTAATAAGAATAGCGGTGGTACCACCAGGATGAATTGGAATAAATTTCGTACAATCATAAACTTTTTTATCAATAATAATCCAACAATCTTTTTCATTATTATGTTGTTTAACTTGTTCCATCGTATACTTTGGATCTTTAGATGAAGATTCACTTTTAGAAGCATTCGCAGGAGCATTCGCAGGAGCAGACTGTTTTTGTTCTAGTTCATGTTGTCTAACCATCCAACCACCAGGATTATTACCAGCTTGAGTTGGATGTTCAAACCGCAAAACAACATCTTTTCCATAAGTAATAACATGAATTTTTACTCTATAATGACAATTATTCATCATTCCCATTAAATTCCAAGTTAAATTTTCTGGTTGTGTATTTTGAGAACAGTCCCATGCTCTAACCCTAATTTCTGAACTACGTACAAAACTATGTGTAGGAATCTTTAATGACCAAAAGGTCCAACACCAAGTTCTACCGTTTCTTTCTTCAAGATCAAATAAATCTGAAAGCAACCAAGTTTTACCATCATCTAAAGTTACTTCAACACGTGTAATTTTACGACCTCCACCACTATAAGCGTAACCTCTAAGAGTATATTCAGAATCACTTGAAAAGCTCGAAAATGGAATAACTTCATCATGTGCGGGAGCTGCAATAGCAGAATTAACGTTTAAATCATATATAATATAATTAGGTATATACCACCAATTTTCTTTATTTGCACGTTCAGCATCTACATTTGGTGGTAATACACGATTATCATGAAAGTGATACCAACTATCAGACTCTTTATTAGTTACTGATATCTTATCAAGCCATTTAACCATACGACCTCCGATAATTCCAGGAATTATCATACGAATTGGATATCCATGATCTGGAGTTAACCTTTTACCATTTATTTCATATGCTAACATAACATCCTTTTCTTCATCCATTGCCCATTTTAAAGTTATACTTGTTCCATAATATCCATTTGGGAGTTTATCAGTTCCTCCAAAACAAACGTAACGAGTTTTTTCATAATTATCATCATTTTTTACTCCCGCCAGTTGTAAAATATAACGCAATGGCACACCTTTCCATATTGCAGTACTTACAGCTGCTGCGCCCCAATTAAATCCAATCGTTTTTTTAACCATATTTTGTTCTTTACGACGATTTCCTGCGCAACAAAATGTTAAAGGAAATTCAATATACGGAAGTTTTGCAATATCATCCATTGATAAAGTAAGTGGGTTCGATACATCTCCATCAATAACCACTTTATGAGTATCCCAACTAAGCTTCGGTACAGGTCCATGATTTCTAACATAATGTAGAGAAGTTGGAGTTATAAAACCTTGCTTCAATAATAGTGGTAAAGGGGCTTCACAGTTAAAAGGATGTTTTCCTGTCAACCGTATAAGTTCTGGATGTCTTGGAATCCAATTATCAGGAGTTCCAATATCGCGAGGATCGATTTGCTCTAAAACTTCCGTTTGTTCAGCCATTGTTTTTAACGAAAATACATGAAATATTACCAGTAAATTTATAAATGCAATTCATGCAAAATTATCTTATCATTAATCTTATCGTTCCCCGACAAATGATTGTCTATCTTGTTACACGGATTAAATAATATTATTTGAGTTTATGTTTGTTAAAGTCAAACAATGTACTGTGCTTATTAGAAATTCTCATTTATAATCGTAAAAAATTTTTTTTTTTTCTTTTAAGAAAGAAAAAAAAAAAAAAGATAGAAAGAGTTTATTGAACTTCATATAGAAGATCTTAAATAAAAATATTTTCAATAAAGGTAGTAACAGTTTCAACTAAAATTTTACGCCAATATACTAAATATAGTTGATTCGAATACCAAAAACTGCAAAGATCAAAAAAAAAAAAAAATGTAAGAAAAAGAAATGAATCATAAGACTAATAAATTGGATTTTCGAATTAATAATTTGATAATAATCCCTCTTGCGGAGAAAATAATTTTCCTAATTAATAAATATCATGGTTTTTTTTTTCGGAATTCTTAATCGTAATAAACGGTATCGTTGAATCCACTCGTGTAACTTATAAGAAATTCAAATCGTGCTACATAGATCCGTTTTTTTTGAATATCGTCTCACAGACAGTTTATTTTGTTCCGGTTAGAATCATTAATATGCAATAGATTATAGATAAGTAAAATGTCTTGTTTTACATTTTCTGTTACATCAAAATATTTATTTAATTTGGACTAGTTTATTATGATATCGTGTTTCTAGAACTGTTCTAGATATGTATGCCTAAAAAAAGAAATCATAAACAAAAATGCAAATCTATAAAAGATTCAATTTATCTAATTGATTAGGAAAAAAAAATCAAAAAGTGACCCTAAAGAGTTTAGGATAGTATGAATCACGGACTTATCAGATACGGGTAGATTTTTCACCTATACGCACTGATAATCTATAAGTTTTCCTATTGAAGGATAATTCATTTATTATTTGGTTAAGAATTAATGAAGTCCGTTCTTACAATAAAACATACTAAAATTGCTAGTCTACCCCCTTTTCAGAGGTTCCACTTTTATGGAGTATCTTACCTCCTATAGTACATATAATAATATTATGTTACAAAACCCTAAGATAACAAATTTGATTGTGGGGGATTGACAAATGACGAGCTATTGGTAGAGCGATCCCGTATCGGATCGGATGAAAACGGATCGGATGGCCATCTATCCAGATGTTCTGTTTCCGAAAGATCAACTGAAAAGACGAAATTAAAAAGAAACAGCTTTTTGCATCTCTAAATTTTTAATTTATTTTGCACATGACAATTGGTTCATCATTGTGCAGGAATAATATTTTTGTGTTAATTATAATGTGCCACAAAAATCGTATTGTGAAAGTGAAAGTGATCATATGATATTGATCCAGAATTTTTTTCTAACGACTTTAAATTTTAAGAGCAGATGTCACTTTTAGGTCTAGTGTTATTGTTAAAAAAAATTGTAAAGAAAAAAAAGAACATAAATTCATATTTTATTAATATATTAAATATACAAAATGGATTTATTGGATAACTAATAAATTTATCAAATATTACAAATATTATAAAAATTATAATTTAAATTGATGTTATATGCTTATTTGCCTTATTTTAATATCTTATAATTAATTAAAGAAATCTCACTTATTTTTAAAAGATATTTCAATATTATTTTTATCAGAAGTAATTCTAAAATTATAATCATACAAGTCACTATACTCGTTACTATTAGTAATAGATCCTCTACAAATAAGACCAGCCCATTCAATAACACCATTCGGTACTTTTAGATCGCTTTTGTAAATTATTAGCCTGCATATAGATCCTATAATAATCATTATTACGTATGTACTTATTAAAAAAATATATACAGGATGTATCGAAATACATGATATATTTAATTGTACGGGTACTTCTTTAACTGTTGCTGTTTGAGTATCTTTTATGGTCATATACGATGCCCAATGTTCTGGTGTTAATTCGTATTTTGAAGTATCATCACCATTTATAACTGCTAAATTCCACTTTCTTCCGACGAGATCACTTATTGTAATTCTCATTGATTCAATAATTTGATCTAATACATTGTAACCTCCATAGTCACCTTCTTTAAAACGTTCCATTTCACATGTATACGCCTTTACAACAATGGGTACTGATACAATTTCATTATTCATTTCAACATTATCTGGATAATAATGGATTCTGGTCGATTCTGGCACTCTAAGTGTCCATATCCTGTTCATATATTTGGTTCCAATTAAAGAAAAGTTTCCTCGAGTAAACTCTTCTACTAGTGAAATAAAAGCACCATTCGCCCAATAGGGATTAGTACCTTCTGTTCTATTATAATATATATATGTTCCATATGTTCCTCTTGTATAATTATAGTCAGTATAATTGTGACCATCAATACCATTACGAAATATGTATTCTGCGTGTATCTCTGGCAATGCTTCACGTAGACCAGGTATTCCAGCAAATATAGAAGTGTTCATATTTACTTGAGTTATTCCAGATTTGTAGGGCAAACATGAACTTTTCCAAGTATAAGGATCAACATCAAGGTTAGGATTAAATTTCCAACGATTATCTTTCGGGACTTGACCTACTAATATACCATCTGGTACACCACTTTTGTTTCTTTTATTCATCATTGCTTCTATTTCAGCACCGGAACCAAGTGCTGATCTATGATTAGCGTTTGCTATTTGTGCTTGTGACATTAAAGTAGTTGTTTTACATGTTTCAACATATTTTATGGTATTTACAACAATAATTCCATCAAAGCTCGTGAGTATTAAACAAATTATAACCACTGTGCTGATAGTTGATAAATATACCATACGTATACCCCTTAAGCGTACCATTTTATAAACTTCCACTATATTGGTCGGTGTTATAGTTTCCAAAATAGGTACTTCGCCGACATTGGGATTCTTAATTAAATTTAATGCCTTAATCCTTACGACATTTGATACGAAAAATATCCATCCAATACCCAAGATACTTAGGATAATCGCTGAAATGGTTTGTACTTGGCTTAAAGTAAATGTAGTATAAATATTCATCATGAAATGAATATGTGAATTTCTCTTGACCCGAAGATGTCAGGTTTTTATTAATTTTACCATTTCACAATCTGGTAAAAACAAAAAATAATTTTGGAGTTTTGGCGATGTTTTATTTACGTTTTTGAAAACGAATGAATTTACACAGAACTTTCCAAAGAAAAATAAGGTATAAGAAAAAATAATTGACCATACACCACATTACTATATTACTAATTATTATAACTTCATTTTGTATTTCAAAGAATACAATGATTTGAGTATTTAATTCTGATCTACTTCATAGTACATTTATTCATTTGAACGTTCTTGTTAATGTTGCGTTTTTTACTATGTTACATGTTATATGTATTATAGTACAGACATTATTCAGTATAGCTTGTACTTGGTAACAATTAACGGCTAATTTCCGGATTAAATATTAAAGGGGCTATTAAGGTTTTACCGAGCAACATTATATAAGAAAAAACAAAATCTTTAAAGGATAACTTCATGTAGCATAAATGGATTTAATTGGATAAGTACAAAGGTTTATATTACATACTATAAACGGAAATAAGTTACCAAATTTGACGGAATATAACGCGAACTTTAGAGATTCGCGAAAAAATATTTGATACATAATATTTGATACATTATAAAAAATATCATAAAAATATGCAGTATTAAAAGTATTTATAAATATTGTAGTGATTGTAGATATAAATTGTGTTGTCATTATTACGAATGTTACGTCCAAATTTACCATTTTACCCTGATAGTGGATTCCATACTGTAAATTATTGAAAGATCGAAAAATAGAATCAAATTTTCCATTGTTTGTATTAGGAAAGGTTGCTTTTTTGGTTTTCATGAACTAAATTATTCAGACTTTCATATTTTTAGATAGCTCTAGTTTGTTTATGTCATCTATATGTTAAGAGAAGTTTGTAAAGTTATTTTTTATTAATTTGATTTCATTTAATAAATATTTATTTAATAATTAAGTTAAAAAATTGACTTTTATAAATAAACTTGCATCTAGTAATATTAGCTCATTAGATTTATCTTATTAAGATGAACCTAATAATAGTAACTGCTTTTACTAAAAGATGCTAATCTGTTGACATTTTTCTAATTTGCAACTGATCTATTACACTTAGAGCAGTGTTGGGCAATTGGACAATTTTGGACAGTTTTGAACAGTTTTGGACAAGTTTTGGACAGGGTTTTGGACAATTCTCTTATGTCCAAAACCTTGTCCAAAACCTTTAAAATTAAAAATTGTGTCTAAAACTCATCATTAACTTAGAGTATATGGTTACTATTATTGGATTTATTTTAATAAGATGATTTTAATAAACTGTATTTCATATTTCATCTATTTATGATTATTAGATGTTTAAAATTTTGCTTAAAAGGTCAGTACTTAGCAGACAAATTTACCTGCTATAATATTTGTAATACAAATAATTCATTTATTACATTTATTATACTGCTTATTCATTATCATATATATCTGTTAATATTATTGTAAAAGCTACTCTACCAGTTATAAATTGTTAAATATCAGTAATAAAAAAAATTAAAGAATTTTATTTTTTTCACATTTTTTGTATTTCCTATAAAATTAAAAAATTTATTTTTGAAACATTGTTAAAAAGTATATATATAATTGTATAGTAAAATGTATCATTTATAATTCATATAGTTATAAACTTACAGTAAATGGATTGATATTAATTTGTATAGTATGAGGGATTAATATATTAAAATGAATTGATATTAAATCATATAATTAGAAGATTTGATATCAAAACATATAGTACAAAAGATCAAAACAAATAGTAAAAAGAATTAGATTTGCCATTAGCTTATACTTTATTAAATTAAAGGCTTTTGAACTTAATTTTATTGAAGTTAAAGAAAAAGATGGTAAGAAAAATTGATAGGTACTAGTTTATATGCAAAGATTTTAAAAATTGCATATATTTTACATTAGATATATAATTATTTATATTTAATGAAAATACCAATTTATTTGCTTATTACTATAAATAAAAATATATATACTGTATATATTACAAATATATTGTAAAGCTATTCCTTAAACTGTAAGCAATTGCGGGCAAATTTGTCCGCAATTTTACCAAATTTCAGCTCTCATTTAATTTTATGAAAAATAAAGCAATTTTAATAAAATTTTTTTCCAAGATAGTTTAAATTATATATTGTGCAGCAATTATTATCATTTATTAATTATATATCAGAAAATCAAAAATTACCCATTGGTCAAAAGTTGTATTTTAAGATANACTTTGCACTTAACTTCGACGATTTCATTGATAATTAATTGTAGCTATATAAAAGCTTAATAGAATATGTAGAATTTGGTATGAGAAACGACTTTTGTTAATATGATTTTTGATATTTAAAAGTAGGATTTTGACTTTATATAGAACCTTAATGAAAATTTTATTATGCATTTTAATTATATATTCATAACAATTGATTTTTTTTATCTCTATTTTGTTTATTATAATGCAAAATTTTTATAATAAAAATAAAAAGCTATAATAAATATTCAAATAGAGAAAAAATATGGTAAGAAAAGTTTAAATTTTATTATATAAAAATTCTGATACTATTTTTGCTGGTTAATTTCTAATCCAATTTTAATGATCAACTGTATATCTAACTCATACAATTTATGGCCAGAATGTAGATCAATTTAGCTGCAAAATTATGTGACGATCTGGCCAAAATTAAAGAATTTTTTATAGCGTCATTTATTCTAATTTAGAAATTGTGGGCAAATTTGCCCGCAAAACAGTTTAAGGAATAAGTAAAATATTTCATTTTCAAACAAAGCTTACTTTTAATAAATTTTTAAGATGCAAATCTTTTAATATTACTTTAAAGTGGTGTATATTTTTTTATTATAAAATAAATTATTATAGATTATTTACTGAATTTGAAATAGATTATTTATATATAAAAAACCTATAATTCATTTTATAAAATTCTATATTTCTAATTATAATTTTTTGTAAATCTATTGAAACAATAAGGTAATTTCCTATATAATTAAAACTATATGTGATGCTGAGGTGATTGATCAACTATGTAAATCAAAACTATATCAGATAAGCTTAATTAAACTATTAATTAGAGATTTTTTTTAAATCATAACAGATACTTAATAGAGAGTCTTTTTTATATAAACAACAATAATAAAAGAATACTTTACAAAAACTTTAAGTTTTTAAGTAATATTATTTTGATATTATTTTGATATTGATTCAATATCAATTTAATATCGATGTAATATTAAAATAAAATATTATCATTTTAATATCAAAATGATATCGAAATAGTATTAAAATAATATCAAAATGATAATAGAAATGACATTGAAACAATATATTTAAGTTTAACTTAAAAATGTTATTTCAATGTCATTTTAATTATCATTTCAATATTATTTCAATATTAATTTAATATCGATATGATATTGAAATAATAATACTTTATTTTGATATTACATCGATATTAAATTGATATTAAAATAATATCAAAATGATATCAAAACAATACCATTAAAATAAACTTAATGATATCAATTCTATATTGATTAAAAATATTAAGTTTCTGTAAAGTAGTTTGCAAATTTTTAGAAGTCTAGAGTAGACTTTTTTATTATTTATTACTTTTTTTATAAATATTCATTTTCATATATACCTTTAATAAAGTTATATTAATTATTTTGTATTATTATTCAACCTTCAAATTAATATTCTATAAAACCTTTTTTTATATTGATATATATTATTATCCTGTCAATGATTAAAGCTAACTGAAAAACTTTAACGCTTTAACAGGTTAACTGAAGTTTAACTTAATAGGAGAGTCTTAAGTCAATCACAAAATAATCACATGAAATAACATTAGATGTTCAGTTAAAGAAAATAGGTTTTTATTAAAATAATGTAAGATTTTAGATATAACAAAAAATATAAATAATCTCTTAGTTGCGAAATTAACTATCTTGAATTATACTACTGGGAATAATACTCTTTTCGTATAACTCAAATACTACAATATGATTCTCAACTATCTGTAAAGACTAACTGTAAACTAACGAACTACCCCTACAACTTGGTAAAATCCTATCACTATTTATAATATAATAAAAATTAAAAATATTTAATAAAATAAATAAAACAGATATAATAAATAAATAAGATAAAATAAATAAATAAGATAAAATAAATAAATAAGATAAAATAAATATATCAAATAAATAAAATATAACAAATAAAATAGATAAAATTAATAAAATAAATAAATCAAATTTATCAAATTTAAGAAAATCAAAAAAATCAAGGTTATTATTACTATGTGCTATTTAAAAGGTTCAGATATAGGAAAACTCTTATTTCCATATCTTTAAAGAAAAGCATACAATTATATTGCAAATAGTCTTTATAAATCTCAATCATTAAATAAATCTTTAAAAAATGCAAAGAGTAAACTAAAGTTGAAAAAAGCTTTATCATTAAAATAACAAGTTAATTGAAAGGATACAATCACTTGATACTTAAATAGGACACTTGTATAATCAAAAATCATATTACATTTCAAAAATTTATTCTTTAGTTTGAAAATTTTTAATAATAATAGAAGATGCATTAAAAAAAATCAAATTCCTTTTTATAGTTTATAATAAACGAAAATATTTTTCTAGTACAATTTGGCTTGCAACAAGTATTACACAAGTAGGAGAAATATTAATGTACTCTATAATTGAGTGTATTAAATTAATTTATATATTTTTAATTGGAAAATTTCTATAAAATTGTTTATTAACCTTAACATTATATACATAATATAAAGATATTTTTCAAATATACGTTAATAATTATATTTTCAAATTGCAAATGTTGAAATCATGGCTAATGAATCCATCTGTGGAAAAATTAAAAATTTTGTTCTTTACTATCAAATATGAAATAAAAAAGAATAAACACCAATTTTTACTATATCAAGTTTTAAAGATATTCCAAAGTGCAACAGTAAGATAGCTTTTAATATAGTTATTTAGTCAATTCAAGAAGATAGTCTTGATATTACTAAATGTATTTTATAAGTTACTGATAATATATCAATGATAAAAATGGAGTTGTTTCTTTTTTCAATAAAAAAACTGGCATTAAGTGCTTTTCAAATTGGTTATAGATTTTATATTATATAAATTATTTTTAATCATTTTAAACAAGAAGCATTTGGCAAAATTTTTACTGGTTTTTCAAAAACTAAATTCATATAATCTCTTATATTTGGCATAAAATTTATTACATGACAACTACAATTTTAATGATAAAGATAAATTTTTAAATATTAATACTTTAATAATGTATGATAGTTTAATGAAATTTTATTACAACCAGTATCAGCTGCCATTTTATTCCTATTAGAACAGGATCCCGGACATTACATATACAACTCAGTGGCAACTTTTTCGCAAATTGACCTAAATTTCACAAAAAAAAAATCAGTTTTTTGCGATTATTTCGGCATCCAGTAATCCGATTTGTACAAAATTTTTTTTGTTTTGTAGCTCTCATCAAGCTCTACAAAATAAAAAAAAATTACATGAATCAGATCACTGGATACCAAGATAATCGCAAAAAATGGAAAATAAAAAAAAGAGCAAATTAGGTTTTTTTTTTGGCAAAAAGTCAGTTGTGAATTCTATAAGAGATGTCCGGGGTCCTATTAGAACTATAAATTACAAATAGCCAAACAATATTTGGATTGATATGAAGCTCATATTTTATTTACTTGTTAATTTATTATTCAGTTAAAAAATTATTATAATACACCAAAAGCATATTTAAATGACTACCACTTTTTTGAGTTATGGTTATCTAATTTACTAATTAACATTCAAATAAAGTGCTTAGTAAATTTTGCTAAGCATTTTTATAAACCATTGGTATAATTTATTGTGAAAAATGATTCTAATTTATGTATAATACAAAATGGAAAATTGTCTCAGTTACCCTTTAGAAGGTGAGTACAAAGAAATGCCAGAAAAAGTTTTTGAATGAAAAGCTTTTTTTGAGAACATCAAAAACAATGTAGAAATATTCTTTGCTGATGAATTATTAAAAGCTATTAAGATATTACCAAATGATAAATTTGAAAAATTATTCAATGATTTAGAAAATAGGATTAATAAAACCTATAAATATTTTGAAAAATAGTTAGATCAGTCTATGGCTTCATTTACCCTTAGCAATTTGCCATTTAGGTAAAGACTCTGCACATTCATTTGCCAACAGTTTTTGCTTTACAATTTTAAGAAGAGATTGGAATAAAATGCCTACAGATATGGAATTAAGGTTGGCAAAAGATTTGGAAAATAACATTAATTGTGGAAACAGTAATACTTTTGGTTTACAAGAAATGATGAATTTGAAGAATTTTGCAAGTGTGATAATCCTATGTTATACAAATTTCCTTACCTTTATAATTTTGTTAAAACACATATTTATTTTATTATTATCCATCAACAACAAGTTGAGGGATTTTTTAACAAATTAGATTTGAATATATCATTATCCCTTAAACAATCAAAACTTCAATTAGCTTCAGGCAAGATTTTAAAGGAGGATTTAACTTTGGACCTCAAAGAAATTCATACCTAAAGAAAAAAGCAAAAAAAAATTCCACCTCAAGATAAGCAATTACCGCCATTTGGAGAAGTTGTTGCATCAAACCTTTTTAATTGTATCATAGGCAATAAATAAAATTATTACTTTAGTTACGGTATAGAATTGCATTAGGAAAATATAATGGGATTGATACTATTGCATTAGGAAAATATAATGGAATCAACACGTGATTCAATAGTAAATTTTTATATATAGTTTAGTTGACAGAACATCCCAATGTGACGCGTACAACCAACTGCCTTTATATTTATCGGATAAATATATAATATCAATTAAATAAGCGGGTTTGCAAATAAAGTGGGTGAATATTCTTTAATTTTTAAGTTATATTTATTATTTTTTAAAAAAAAAAAGAAATCTTTAAAATTTTATAAATTATTTTTTAACAAAAAAAAAAAAAAAAATTTTTAAATATTGAAAAATATACATATATTGAATTAATTTCAATTTTATATTAATAAGCTCGTCTAATTATTTCTGCTGATGCCTATCCCGAATATTAAGCTTTTTTAATAAATTTTCCCTCATCTTTCTTATCTCGGGAAATTCAGTATCATATTTCCATTCACCATCTTTATTTATTTCTTTAATTTCTCTACGCGTCTTATCAATATTTGCATGATAATATCTATTAACAAAATAATAAACTCAATATTTCGAATAAAAAAAAAAAAATGAGAAACTACAGATAACTTACATCACATCAGGAAACCAAGTTTTCCAACGTCTTTGATTAGGAAGTAAGTAAAATAGCTCAATTTCCGATAAAATCTATATCAGATATTTATTAAATAAATAAGTATCTATTATTTAAAAAATTAAAAGATAAAATATGATATTTATAAATACAGTACCGTTGCACTTTGTAGTAAATATGAAACTCTATTGTTATCACGCTGAATAGCAAGATTAAGCAAACCAATCAACAAATTCATAAGGTATACAGCAATTAATAAAGAGAATGAAACCATTAATATATCAATGGGTGCATTATTTTTAAATTCCCAGTTAGGCAAAGCGTTTGGATTACCTATTAAAAAAAAAAAAATTTATTAGAGCGTCAGACAAACCTGGAAATTATTTTAATAATTATAAAGAAAAATAAATCATACCGGTGAGATATAAATACATCGAAAAAAGTGAAGTCCTATAGTCAGTAAACATGTTTGTATTCGCGTTAGGTTGTTGAAATAATACTGGAGTGCCATCATTACTATTAAAGGTATTAGTTAAATGCCAAGGATTATTGATGTCATTATTATCTGCAGGTGGGGGTTCACTTAAACTATAAATATTTCTTGGTTTTAAAAGAATCAAAAAAGCGTGGGCAAAACTAACAAGTATAAAAAATAAAATAATTAAAAAGGAAGCAATCTGCTTAGCAACACTAATGATAATTACAAAATAAAGACCAAACGATTCAAATACTCTAAAAAATAATAAAAATTTAAGATCTAATAAGAGACATGAAATTGAGATCAAAAAAAAGATCTTATCATCATTTTTCAACGAATAAATGGATGTACATGTAGGAAGCAAATATGCTCCCAAATCTAAAAAAAACGGAATAATATTTATTAGAGTGACGTAGAAAACATTTTTAATTAGTAAATAAATATTTATTCTTACCAAAATAGTTCCAAGGATCAGAAATCCATGCGATAGGATCATAAATAAATTGACGAAGTTCAATAATGAGATGAATAATTCCAAGAAAAATTGAGGATATATAAAGTATTTTTCTATCCTTTTCAGATATATAATCTTCAGAAAGTGTTGTAGCAGCGGTAAAGCATCCAAGTAAAGCAGCAAAAATAATCCAAATTATTGCATAATAATATCTTCCATATTTTTCCCACTTGAAATTAATCATTGCTTCTCCACCCCATGTTTCATATATCGCTCTATTAATCGTTTTTACAAATGGATTAGGGTTTGGCCTAATAAAAAATTCCATAAACCAATTATAGTTTTGCGGATAATTAACAAATTTAATATAAGGGACAAGAAAAGTAATTGTAGGTTTTGGTTTTCCAGGAAATATTTGAAATCTTAATTTGATTTCTTTTATCTTTTCAGATATAAAATAATAAGATAGGTAATAAAAAAAAGAAGATCCATCAGTGTGAATTTGATTAATAACATGAAAATAGTTTAAAATATAAAATATTGGAAAGGAAATAGGGAATGTTAAAAAATATATTAAGAGTTGAATTATTAATAATGCTTTGTAAAAAATATTATGTTTATGTTGTAATTTATCCAAATTATAAGCATAATCTAACCAATAAATGGATGGTGATAAATCAACTATTTCAATATCGGAAAAAGGATGGAGATGTGAATTCCCAAGATATTCTATTTTATAATTAAGAGAATCTATTATCAAATTCGTATCAGATGAATACTTTTCAACATATTCAGGATAAAAATCATTCAATAATGGCATTGAAGTAGTGATGATACTTAAAAATGCCTTATTTTTTTCTAAATTTTGACTAAACAATTTCAAACATTTCTTATAAATACCATCTATTAATTCTAAATCGTTTAGTTCAATAGCAAACATTAATAATGCAGCACCATATTTTAAAAAATCTTCTCCATTATCTTTAACATATGAAGCCCATCCATGAGTCAACATTAATGATGTAGGACCATAATATTTAGTAATATCTTTATATTTAACCTTATATGAACGCCATCCATATCCATAGTAACCAATGATGTTTCTATCAAGATAATTGGTAGTATGAAAATAATGAACATGGCAAAGACTTTTGATGCTTTGTTCCGGTTGATATATATAATAAAAATGTTTCAAAGAAATTAACTTTTCATTTAGACTTAAAGACTTATTTAACTTTAGATTTAAATGAAAAATAAAAATGCCGATATTGGTTAATATAACAATCTCATTACTATTTAATAGTTCATCATAGGCAAGTATATTGAGATAGATTTTACTATCTGAATCATCTGAATAAATACTAGTAGTTATACGATTTAAATCACTATCCGAACAAAACAGACGAATCAAATCTTTAGTAGTTACCAAATTTTCATCAATTCTAATTTCCAAATTATTAGGATCTTTCCCTAATTTTTTAACTTTAGTCACCCGGTTAATAAAATTTGGTTTTAATTTTACAAGATGATCTTCAATATCTTCAATATCTTCAATTTTAGTAATTATTTGTTTAACAAAATCTTGTTCTAATTCTTCATCAATTTTAGCTACCCCTTCTATAATAATAATATCCGGTTTTTCATGTTGATCTAATTCTTTAGCTATGCCTATCAATTTGACTAAATTTTTCACTTCACTTTTAACGGCAGATTTCCATTTATTTAAATCTTTCATTTCTAATTCTTTTATTTTATCAATAAAATGTGTCATTTGATTAATAGTATCATCATCATTCATCTCTTTGTTAAAATATTCCATCACTATGGTCTCAAATTGATTAATTTCTTGTTCCTCCTTTTTACTATTAATATTTTCGAACATAATAATTTTATTTATATTTATCTTATCAATAATCTCAAGAAATTTTCTTAAAGCTTCAATATAAGGTTTTTCATTATTATTAAATTCTTGATTTGAATTATCTGAATTATTTGGTCTAATACTATTAATAAACCCACCCAAATTTGTTAGTGCTTCACTATAAATGTTTTCGGATTTTTCAGGTTTTTCATTAATATTAGAGTCTTGATTCGAATTATTTGGATTATTTGGTCTAATAACTCTAATAAGCTCATCCTTCAATTTTTTAATCTTAGAATTTATTATTGCTCTAACGAAATTTTTAGATGATTCTTCAAGTATAGCTAATTTTATCTTACTAATAAAAATTTCCAATAATTGTTTAGAATCTTTACTTTGATCTTCTTGTTTTATATTTTCGATAACGTTCTTCTCTAATCCTTCTTTTCTAATTGTTACTATATCTTCAATAAAATCATTAACTAATTCTACTAGTTCTTCATTTTTTTCATCAACTTTAGATAAATCTTTTGATAAAGCTTCATCCATATTTTTCCCTGATTTTTTATTAATAAAATCATTCAATAATCCAATTTTAATTATTTTTTTAACAAAAGTTGTTGAATTGTTGATATTCTCGATATCCTTAATATCCTTCTTCTTAAAATTTTCCAACACTTTAAATTTAATTTTAAAACAATTGTCATTATTCTTTATTTCCTCTATATCATCATCATCAATAAATTTTTTTACTGATTCATTAGTAATAATATCCTTATCCTCTTTACTAAAATCGACAAATTGAAAATTTTCTAATCCTTTAATTTGCAAGTTCTCTATTTTTTTAATAAAATTTTCCATAAATTTATCAATTTTAATATTCTCTATCTTTTTAATAACATCATTAAGTTTATTTTCTCGTTCAGGATCCTTCGCTTGTAGTATTATATCCTTAATATCATTTTCCATTGATTCAACAATTTTTATTTGTTTAATAATGTCTTTCACTAAGTTTTTGAATTCATAAAAATTTCTTATTAATTTATTTAATTCATCACCTAAATTCACTTTCCCATTAATCAATTCTACGAAATTTTTTGTGTTAATTTTTTTAATGGCCTCATCTTTTAACTGTTTATAGATATTATCGATATTATCTTCTTCTAAATCTTCAAATGTAGTTATATGTATTAAACTAGAAAATTTGTTTATTATTTCTACCGGATCATCTAAATTTTTTAATTCATTTATTATTTCACCTGGATTTTTAGTTTCATCTTGATCTTGATTTTTAGTTTCATCTTGATTTCGGTATTTAGCTTCAATTTTCTTGGTAAAAAATTCTTCCAAATCCACTCTAATTTTCTTTTTTATTGGCCTATTAATAGCTTTATTTACTAATTTATTAATTCTAACACTGACATTGATATCATCGATATCACCATTCGGAAAATCATTTGTATATTTACTAAGTTCTTTCTCAAATTCTTTCATTTCTTTTGTAGTTGCATGTTTATTAAATTTATCTATCACTGATTGAGAAAGGTCCTCTTCAATCTTAGAATTTTTAGATTTCATTAACTTTTTAAATTTATTTACTAAATAATTAATATTATCTTCAATAATCTTTTTCTCAGATTCCTCGGCCTGTTTCTCTAATACTTCCATTTTAATTTTCCATATAATAGAATTTTTTTCTATTTGATATTTTCCAAAAGAGTTATTGTTATTATCGTGATTATTGAAGTTTAATAGTGTAACATTTTCATATTTAATATCGTTATCTTCATATGAAAGTATATAGTCTTTTGATTCAATACGTTTAAAAAAATAAGGCGCTAGACTTTGTAACTTAATAAGATTTTTCAAGCAACCATTTTTATCCAGTAGAGAAAATAATGAACAATTTAAACTAGGATATTGTATTATAAAATTAGATAATTTATGTTCCTCTAGAAAGAAAGATAAAAAAGTATTAATATATTATTATTTTAATGGTATCATTACATTAAGTAATTATTTACCTTCATTTTCCTCATTTTCCTCACTTAATGTGATAGATGTGATTGGACATCCTAATTTATTTGAATAAACAGTAATTTCATTATTTAATTTCAAAAGAGTATACTCATTTTCTTCATCATCCAAGATTTTGATTTCTTTTGCCTTAATATATTTAAAAAAAATATAGTAGGTTGTTAGTTTGTATTTCTATCTAATAAATTTAAATTCAATAATGATTTACCTCATTTATATTTTTTAATACAATTGTAGTATGACCAGTAAAAATTTCCCATACATATATATTGTCATTAAAACGTAACCAAATCTTATTATATTTTGATATACTTATTACATCCGCTTCTTTAGGAATCATATAAATCTTTTGACACCTGGTTTTTTCAGTTCGTATTGAATGAACACAAACGACATTAATTATTGTATCCGTAGAGTATGACGTGGTACAAAATAAAATAAGTTTTCCATCTGAGTTAAAACTGCAAGATTTGCAAGATACCATATCTTCATGATTCAATTTTATATTTTGAGGTTTTTCTTTATTCATATCAATTATTCCTAATAAAAAAAAATTTGTCAATGATATACTGTGATAGTATACTAACAAAAAATAAACTAAAAAAAATATCGGTTAATTCTTACTAATTTTACGATCAGATATATACGCTAGTATCTTCTTATCGGACACACACATGTACGAAATTTTTTCATATTCATTCGGTTTATAACTTTTACCAGTATCACTTTTATTATTAACATCCCTAACCACAATTGTTTGGTCTTTTTCCATATAATAAACAAGATATTTTCCTTTCGGTGAGACTTCTACCATACTAATTGGATTACCGACATGTGGTTTAGGTGAACCTTTAACACTAGAGTCATTACCATCTGGTGTTGTATATTTAACATCAAGGTCATTATCAGGATCTATATCAATAGCGATTTCCGGCATTTTAAAGAATAGTATCCTTGATTTTGAGAAGGATTTCTTTTAAAAGAAGAAGCACGAAAGAGCATTCTTTAAATATGATTATGATATGTAATATGCTAATTGAAAACCCTGAATTAGTAGATAATACTTCTTATACAAGATAGCGTTTTTGTAATCCATATCCCAAAACAAACTTTAACCGTGGTTCTAGACTAACCCAGTCTTTAAACATTATAAACTGGACATTGTTAAATTGATTATCTTAAGTTTTGATTGAAATATCCCAAGACGGGAATTTTTTTGATTGAAATATCCCAAGACGGAATTTTTGATTGAAATATCCCAAGAAGGGAATTTTTTTGATTGAAATATCCCAAGACGGAACATGGTTAAAATTGATTGTCTTGTTTGATTGAAATATCTATTGATTATCTTCAGTTTGATTGAAATATCCCAAGACGGATGCGACACATGACAGTTACACCAATTATATAATATACGCTGGTGCATTCGAATTTGGTTAAATTACTTAATAATACGACGTCAACAATGAAATGTCGATATTGAGAGGTAGAATTGGAAGCACAAATTCTGATTTTAATGTGTAAACTTTTCTTTTCACTTTTATTATGTACAATTTTCATAAATCACCTGTTAAAGATTGCCAATCCCGATTTTTCCAACATATTTATTTATTTCAAAAATATTATTTCTAATAGTTAAGTCCTAGAGCTAACGTACGACGTATCTTTTTCCGCGAAACTCCACATTTTAATTTTTGCTGCCTAAGGATGTTTTTTACTTTCATTTTTCTGAATGATTATCCAATGCTCCAAAACAGGTCTGTAAATGCACTTCTTATTCTGTAAATGCACTTCTTATTTAGGTTACATGATAGAAATCTTGGCGCAAATTACTTCCTTTTTTGATGAGGTACAAATGGTGAGCTATAATTTTAAAAAATTTTCCACAAGCACTACACTGAGGCAAATGTATCGTTCTTGACCCACCACGCGGTGTTGACTTGACCTGCATAATATATTTTACAATAAGGATGATGCCACCAGAAGGGTCAATTCCGATACTTTTGCTACACTGTGCGTAAAAAACACATGCTATTTCACGTGATAAATTCAAATTGCCCGTTAAAGCGGGTAGAATCACGTGATTTAAAATTATTATGATTTGATAAATTTTTTATAAACTAAAATTAAAGTGAACTTGAAAATCATTAAATAAGTGTATTTTTGCTTGCTCCTCAAGTTTACTTATTGAGAAAAAGTGGATTTTGAACAATGTTTTTGACTTTACATATGAGCAAACGAATTTTGCTGATCATACCCAAAAAAGGATAGATCAATTTTAACGAAATTGTAAAAGTTGAATAAATCGAAAACGGTGTTCTAAACCTCATTTTGTGCTCTAAGTAAACTTGCAGAACAGATAAAAATGCATTTAATATATGTTTATTTGGAAGGTTTTATATATAATAAAGAGTTTTATTTAAAAAAAAGAAAATTTTGAAAGTCATGTGATTCTACCCTGCTTCAACGGTCCCCTAAATATGGTAATCGACTCTCGCATTCTCACATCATAGAGGATTCAAAGCTAAAGAATGGGCTAACTGGGTTATTCTCTACTCCCTACCATTGTTAAAGAATTGTTTATCATTCAATATAATTAAAGGATGAAAATGCTATGAAGATATAGTACGTTTATGTCAAAAGAAGTTTATAAGTAAGCAAATATTTAACAGTTAGTCTTTAAGTCTTATTAACACTATAAAAGGTAAATTTATTTTTAATTATATTTTTATAAACTTTTCAACTAATAATTCATGTTAAAAATATTAGGGTTTATTAAACTGGCTGTTTATCAGCTATGAAATAATATTATTGATAATATAAAACTTTGATATGGATGAAATTTAACGGTAATAACATTTCACGCAAACGTTCTATTGGAAACTGCCACGTTACCTAACATAGCCCTGTGGCTTGAATACTATCTGTTAAATAAAGTAAGTAATAAAAGCACATTTTTGCGTGAATGGTTTAATCATCTAAGATTTTCTATTCAAAATCAAATATGTCTCACAAAGCAAAAACAGGTTGTTTATTCTAATAAATATTATGTTGAAGAACTTTATTTTCCAAGGGCAAGATATTTTATTAACAAATCAACAATGCTAAAACTCAAAAGGCATTATTTTACTGCATATGATACTGTTATAGATAAAGAAGATGGAGAGGTAACAATAATTTTTCTAATATGCAAATTATATTTGTAATATGATAGGGAAATAAAATAGGACCCCGGATATCTAATATAAAGGTCATAATGGACTTTTGGCCAAAAACACCCCTTTTTGCTGAAACTCAAAAAATCGTTTTTTGTAAATATCTCAGCATCCAGTAATTCAATTTTAATGAACTTGAGCCCCTGAAAAATGGGCCAATCTGCCGAAAGTGTGACTTATGACCTGTTTTGGAGATATCCGGGGTCCTAATAAAATAAAGACTTTACAAATACTAATTATACAGTTGCAGTATGTTAATTTATTTTGATTTTACCCCAAAAAATATTTATTATTTATATAATCCAATTTACTATTAGGTTAGAATGCAAGTTGACAAATATACATCACAATGGAATCACAAATCAGTCTTTCAGATTGAAGAATTTTATGGACGTGTAGAATATTTTATGGTTTATGAATACAAAAATATACCAAGAATTATTGCATTTATTCAATAGACTAATCGACAAATATGGTTTGAAATGTTTAAGAGATTGGACTAAAACAGTTTATAGATATTTGTATAATTGATCATTGCATAGGACTTTTAAAAGTAGATAACACTTATTATATAATTGATAAAGTTAATAATTCTGATGATATTAACTTGTATACAAGTTATATAAGTGCAGAGAAGTAATACAATTTTTATACAAAATTTGTACAAATTACGGTCAAATGATTTTATATGGAATATATATATGGAATTTATGCTTAAAAATATTTTAAATAAATATGTATTATAAATCTAGTATGATTTCAAAATATCTTTTACTTTAATTATGCAAAAGATATATTAAGAAAGAAATCTGAAAAAAGCAATTGGAACATAAAATTGATATTATTTTTCATATAGATAATATAAAATATTTTGGTGTAAAAACTTTTACTGATGAAAATCCTTATAATTTAAAGCCAATTTTTTATAAGTATAAATTATATAGGAAAATGAAAAATCAGTTAGATTGATTATTAAAAAATTGAAATTTATGACTTATAAAAGAAATAATCAAAAAGGTAAAAAGCATTATTTTGCACAGAATATTTTATAAAGATAATTATAAAAAACCTTATATTAAAATTTTTTATTATTATAAAATTAGTAAAATCTATTTTATATATTTAAAAAAGTTTTAATGGCATAATATATGCTATATATTATGATATAAATATCAGATATTATTTTGTGTTTAAGTTATACAATTATTAAATTAGAATAATATTAAGAAGCATTTCAGTAAATTTTGTTTCTTTAAAAGATGTATTACAATTAAAAGTATATTTTTATGTATTATCAATTTGCCAATTAAATTTTCTAATTATTTTTTTTTGACAATTATAGAATAATATAATTGGTATCTTTAAAGTTGTCAATAAAATAAAAAAATTGCTTTACAAATAAATCCAAAAGAATTATTTAGGATCTTGAATAATTATAGTTGAAATCATATCTGACTATATTTTAAACTTTATACCATTATTTATCTTATAATTTTATTAAGTTAATATTATAAAATAATATAGAAAAAAATGGTTTTTTTAAAGAAAAGAATCTTTTGATATCAAAATTATGCAAATTTACTGATTAAAATTAAAAATAAAGTTATGTAACAAGGCAAAATTTAGCAAAAAATATACATTTTTTCACTATTAATATATATAGAAATATTCAAAAAAAATAAAAAATTACATTATTAAATATTATTTTTAAATTACAAAATTATAAATAGTAGAAAGAAAACTAATTTATTAAAATTTACATTTATATTTTTTAAAATATATTCAAGATGAAAATAATAAATTTTTAAACATTCTTATCATAAGAGATATAACTGATTATAATTGTCCAAGGTTCTAGTTATTTACGTACTATTAAAAATCTTTCAGATACAATACCAACTTTTAAAAAAAACTCAAAAAAAGTAGTATAATCAACTATAAGTAATAATCAAGTATTTTCCCGAAAAAAAATCCGAATTTTTCAGAATTCTACACTTCCGAAGATAAAAAATTTGCCACTGAGAATTACCCTTTTAGGCTGATCTGTGGCTCGTACTTAAACTATCATAATCATGTGTTTTTCAGAAAGAATATTCTGAAGGTTTACCCTTATATTAACTATATCTGGTATATTATCATAGTTTACTCCTGGACGCTATTTTTAAATTTCAAACGGAAAGAAAAAAAAATATTTTCAGCATTAATTTCATATAAACTAGAGTTTATAAGCAATTATAATGTGTGTAATTAGTTTCTGATATTTTTCGTGGACTTGTAACTTGTGTATGACCTTTTATTTTAATTTATTTGATCTTAAAACAGGCCTTTTTATGGGCAATATTATGGTCTTTCGCGTCTAATGAGCAATTATAATTCATGTATAACTGCCTTTTATTTTGATTTTTTAATGGGTAATTTTAATTCATATTCTTATTTGATTTTAATACTTTTTCATGGACAATTTTAATTTATGCGTTTGTGATGGTCTTTCCATTTGATCTCTAATATTTTTCGTAGGAATTTTTAATTATGGTGATGGTCTGATCTCTAATGGGCAATTATAATTCATATATAGTGGTCTTCCTATTTGATCTTTAATATTTTTATGAGTAATTTTGATTTATGTATTGTGGCTTTCATATTTTGATCTTTAATACCTCACTTTCGTGAATTTAATTTATGTATGATGGTCTTATTATTATTTGATCTTTAATATTTTTTTTGTGGGCGTGCGATAGTCTTTTCATTTAATTATTCACAGATTTTTAATTTATATGTAATAGATGCAATTTTTTTTGGAAAATATCATCTATTATATAAAAATATGAACAATTTAATATTTTACGTAGTTGAAAATAAAATGTTTATTTTGTATCAATAATATCAAAATATACTATTCACCAACCTGATACATATATTATTTATAGTCTAAATTTTTATATTTTTCCTTTCTTTCCAATTCTTTATTAATCCAATTTTTAATCGCTGTTAATGTTTTATCACATTTAGGTATATCAATATTATGATTGTACATACGAGATACCATTGATTGATTAAAACCAATATCATCAAGTGAAATATCCCTTATTTCAGGACACCGGATATCTCCAAAACAGGTCATAAGTCACACTTTCGGCAGATTGGCCCATTTTTCAGGGCTCAAAAAATCGTTTTTTGTAAATATCTCGGCATCCAGTGGTCCAATTTTGATGAACATTTTTTTAAATTGTAGAGCTAAATGAGGGCTACAAAATAAAAAAAAGTTCATTAAAATTGAATTACTGGATGCTGAGATATTTACAAAAAACGATTTTTTGAGTTTCAGCAAAAAGGGGTGTTTTTGGCCAAAAGTCCATTATGACCTTTATATTAGATATCCGGGGTCCTCTTATTTCTTGAGCTATCCTATATTGACTTGGAACATAAAGAATTTAGAATAATTTTAGATTATAGGAAAACCCTTGATCTTTGATTCTTTGCTTGTAATAGTGTTTGGAATCGAATATATTCGAATATACTCGAGTATTCATTTAAATTTATAAAGTGTATTCGAATAATATTTGAATAAGTTAAATTTCCTTTTATAGTAATGATTTACATAATTTTTAGCCTGAATTATGATTTTAACTCAGTTAAATTTAAGGATTTAATGCCCAATTAGAATTTTAACTATACTATATTTGGCTAAATGAATACTCGAATAACCACTATGCTTATTCGAATACTCGAATATACTCGAGTTATTCGAATAACTGTTACATAATTCCAAACACTAGCTTGTAAAAACTCGTGTTCTTTTAGGTTTCCATTGTTCATTTAATTTATTTAAACTTTATTTGATTTATAAACAATGGATAAAATCGTTAAATTTGTTATTTTAACATGCTTCAAAATATTAAAAAAAGTTAATTTGTCATTTCATTTCGTCATACCTCCCTAAAATTCCCAAAATATCATTATCTTTTCTCACGATCTATCTTTTGAGCGATTAAATTATCAAATTACTTGCATTAATAATAGTTTAACAAAAAAAATTCAATTGAAAAGAAAATTATTATTTTTTAATCGTTCTCTTATTACATATAATATCAGATTCTTATACACTACCCTACAAAAAGTATTCGGATCTTATAAATTTTACTTAGTAAAACAGATGATTTTCAGGTTGCACAAAAGTTTACGGATTTTCAGTAAATTCGCCTGAAATTTTTTTTATTATGAAGCTGATCAATTGTAGTTTTAAAGTATTGAAACAAAAAAAGAAGTTTTTTTTTAACATAAAAAAATGTTCTCATTGTAAAATATAGGTAACAATTTTTATATATGTTTTTTGCGTTTTTACATATAAAATTATCCTGTTAATTACTTTATAGACTAACATTTTTTTGCATTTTAAAGATAAAATATTTCTGATTATATTTTTAAAAACTATAATTGATTGGCTTTCAAATAAAAAAATTTCGGATGGGTTTTACTGAAAATTCGCAAATTTTCATGCAACCTGAAAATCATCAATTTTACTATGTTTTACTAAGTAAAATTTATAAAATCCGAATACTTTTTGTAGGGTAGTGTAAAATAACTGACAGTGATCTGCATCTTTCTCGTTATTATATAACTGTCTCTTATACACATCTAGATGTGTATAAGAGCTTTTTGTAGGGTAGTGTAAAATAACTGACAGTGATCTGCATCTTTCTCGTTATTATATAATATGCAGTATTTTTTATTGTCTAACACGTTATAGTTAAAAAGATAATTTTAGGGGTAAATTTTTTGAAGTGTACTATAGAATTCTGAAGAATTCGGAATATTCTTTCGGAAAAACACATGATTATGGTTTAAGCACAAGCCACAGATCAGCCTAAAAGGGTAATTCTCAGTGGCGAATTTTTTTATCTTCGGAAGTGTAGAATTCCGAAAAATTCAGATTTTTTTTTCGGGAAAATACTTGATTATCTATAAGTATATTAATTTTATTAATTATTAGTTAAGAATATGTTTTGTAAATCTAAAATATAATTTGTTTTTTAATATAATTCTATATAATATGCAAATATATTATATTATTTAAATAATAATATTAAATATTTTGATTATATAAATTATACAGTATACTGCAGTGTTGGCCAGTGACTCAAATGACCTCAAATGACTCAAATGACTGGTCACGTGTCATTTGGGTCATTTCAACATTAAATGACAAATGACCTAGTCATTTAAAAATTACATTATAATTCTGGCCAGAACTATTCATACAATTTCACTATTTCATGGATAAAATTTTCACATGATATTAGAAGTTCATAATTCTGGCCAGCATCATTAATTTGGCCTGAATTATAAAGAATTAATTTTAAATGACTCAAATGACAAATGACCTAAATAACTAGGTCATTCGAAGGTCATTCGGAGGTCATCTCAAAATGGGCAAATGACCTAGTCATTTGCCATCACTGGTATACTGTATATATTATACTGTATATAACATAATTAATATTATATAATAATATTTTCTAATCATATAATTGAAATTTTATTATATTTCTATTTTGCTTTTTAATAGTAAAATGCAAAATTACAACCTGATATCTCTTAAACCGTTTTGCAGGCAAATTTGCTTGCAATTTCTAAATTAGAATAAATGACGTTATAAAAAATTCTTTAATTTTAGCCAGATCATCATATAATTTTGTAGCCAAATTAATCTACATTTTGGCTATAAATTGTATAAATTAGATATATAGTTAAACAGGTTGATCATTAAAATTAGATGAGAAATTAATCCACAAAAATAGTATCAGAATTTTTATATAATAAATTCTAAATTTTTTTTATCATATTTTTTCTCTATTTGAATATTTATTATAACTTTTAATTTTCATTATAAAAATTTTGCATTATAATAAACAAAATAGAGATAAAAAAAATTAATTTTTACGAGTATATAATTAAAATAAATAATAAAATTTTCATTTAAGTTTTTTATAAAGTCAAAATTCTACTTATAAACATCAAAACTCATATTAACAAAAGTTGTTTCTCATACCAAATTTTACATATTTTATTAAGCTTTTATATAGCTACAATTAATTATTAATGAAATCATCAAAGTTAAATGCAAAGTTTTTTAAAATTTTGTGATTATCTTAAAATATAATTTTTAACCAATCACCAATAGATAATCTTTGATTTCTAATAATATATAATTAATAAATGATAATAATTGTTGCACAATATATAATTTAAACTATTTTGGAAAAAAAATTTTATTAAAATTGCTTTATTTTTCATAAAATTAGATAAGAGCTAAAATTTGGTAAAATTGCAAGCAAATTTGCCTGCAATTGCTTACGGTTTAAGAGATAATTATACTTTATTTATAATTTCAAATTTAAAAATAAGCAAAAAAATATTAAAAATAATAAATAAAATATATAATAATATCAAAATATATAAATCTTAAGTTATTTAATACAAGTTTCAGTTTTATTTTCTTTTTTTAAAAAAGTTTAATGTTTTAATTTTTTTATTACAAAATAAATTATTTTTCATTAATAAGAAAACAGAAAATATACTGTATATATATATAAAATATGTATATATATTTAAAAGAAATAATTTATTTGTTATATATTTAATAGTTATTCAGTTTGAAGTGCCGAATAAGTGATTTATCCAGTATTCCGTGATTTGATATTGCCTGATACACGAATTTTTGCCTGATACATGATTTTTTTTGCCTGATACACGATTTATTATAACCATTTTAATTATAAAAAATCATGTGATACCGAATAAATAATGTTATCGCCATCATGTAATATTATAGCTTGTGTAATTTACACTAGCATAGTAAATATTCCTATTTTATCACAATACTGATGATTATTTATTGATTATTTGTCCGATCATTTATTCAATTATATTACAATATAAATACCATTGCTAAAAAAATTTACATAATAATATATACTCAAATTTTACAAATAACTTAAATTTGGTTTTAATTTATTGCATATTAAATTTTATTAGAAACTTTTTAGCTTTTATTATTATTTGCCATATTTTTATTCATTTTACAAAATTATTCACTAAATATGTTACTAATAAAAAACTTGCATTATGAATCAGATCACTGCATTATTTTTTTTATAGATTTTACATAATATAAGGAATATTTGTGCAAAGTTTTAAGTTTTACCCATATATATTCATCTCTACCCATCAAATTTTATCTGATAATCGGCAAAAACTTATGAATTATCATACATCATGGCAAATTTATGAAATACTCTAAATTTGTCTGATATGTACAATTAAATAAATATTTGATAGTTTTTTAGTCACCAAATTTCCCAAATTTATTAGTGAACAGTCAAAAATGAGCTCTAAAAAATTTTTTTGTATCCTAAATCTTGTGTCTAACCAATTTTTCCATTATTTAACCAATTTTTCTAGTATTAAAAATGCGTTATATTTGACATTTTTTAGGAAAAAAGCTTAATGTTTCTATAAGTCAATTTTAATTCTCGAGGGCGCAACAGGGTTTTTGCCAAATTTCATAAATCCACTGCAATAATATAAATAATGTGTTATAAAATATTAAAAAATTATGCTAACAATTATATAATTGAAATTATACAATATGATAATTCAATGCTTAGCTTAGATTTCCATAATTTTTTTGCCACATTATTTTAAAAATATTTGTGGCTTTTGCAATAAATTTTAAAATCTAGAATTACATAGTGTATGTGATTGGCAAATGACTATTATTATATTATTTATTACATGTATTATAAAGCTTATTTTATTATAAATAAAAAATTTCCACGATTTTAAAGAAAAGATATAACTTTTCCTTTATTTTTTGTTATATAACAGACTATTTAAATAACTCAAAAATGAAACTAATAGAACTTTTGTACAAAACAACTTATTATCAAGGTAAAAAAAAAAGTTTTTAATAAGGGAATACTCAATACTAAAATTCTTTTATGAAATTTTTTTGTTTAAATATAGATACACTAGCTGAATCTGTTCATTTGTTAAATAGGAACAACTTTGAAGTTAATCAAAGTTTATATAATATGTATTCCTATCTAATAAAATAAAAGAAATAAAAGTTAACTTAATATTTAATACAGAACAAATAGAATTTGATAAAGAAGGAGAAAATAACACAAATATTCTTATGGAACTTATTTTCAGAATAGAACTAAAAGATCTCAAGTCTCAACTCAATACAATATTCTCTATTAAATTAACCTTTGAAATTGTCTATTAGTACATTTTAGTTCTTGAAAAATTGCCAAATACTATATAAAAGAGTATAGAAGGCAGAAGGGATTTGTAATAAAACAATATAAAGTTAAATACCACAAGTTTCAATCTTCTAACTCACCAATCATGGTTAAAAACAAACTCTTGCATGCAAAAATTTTGGAAAGTATAAAGCAGTTAAAATAAAGCCTAGTATTGAATAGTAATGAAATAAGAGTTCAAAAAAAAATAAATTGTAAATGACATATTAATTTAAGACAGCTCAAAAATAGGACCCCAGAAACTCTATAGATAGGTTGCAGTTAAAATGGGTAAAGTCATAAGAAAATATTTTGCAAATCATTACTAAAAATCACTAAATTATATATTTAAAAGGAAGGTAATACCAATTTTGTTATGATTTTTTTCCTTTTTTGACCATCTATCCAATAGGAATTTGGGTAAAGTTCATATAAAAAATTCAATTTTTTAAACCAACTTTTATATATTATTTCTGGAGTCCTTTAAAAGTATATAGTTTATACATATTAATTCTATTCATCTTAAATATAATCATATAATAATTGCCGATAATAAAAGATTTGCCGCACTATTTCAAAAATTTGATATTTATAATAATAAATGAAATTAAACATGCTGTTGTACTATAAAGAATTTATTACAATCCAAATTTCTGGATGACTGAATCAACTATTTCTTACTCAGAATATTTCAAATACTATTCAAAAGATTAAATATAAAAAAAGGATTATGAGATCTGATGCTTCACATTGGTTGATATTTCTCTACTTCTTAATTAACAAAAAGATGAATCTACAATAGTTATTCAACTACAGTCAAACCTTTATTTATATAATGATATGTTGGGATATATATGAAATTTTTAGAAAATATCGTTATATCAAAATTATACCGATATTTATATATCCTCATATATAGTGGGAAAATAAAATTTATCAGTATATCAAGTTTTTAATAGTATATCAGTATATCAAATATCGGTATATCGAGGTTAGACTGTATTGATCAATATTGATAGTAACCATTTATGTAGTATCTTCTGATAATCATAAATCAAATCCTATTATAATCTCAATATTCAGATATTATTTTTTATAACAATATCTCTAGAACAAATAAATATAATTATCTATTATCATTGTTTATTCTTATTGATAATAATAGAAATTAAAATTAAATATATAAGTATTTTGAATGATGAAATCTAGGAAAATTACAAGTGGATCTTACAATAGACATTAATTGCAACTGGTATTAAACTACAAATAATAATAACTGATACAAATCCAGTCATAGATACTGTTTGCCAAATTATATATAAAAATACCTATTATATATATTGTATTTGGTATTTATCTTAAAATCTACCAAGATAACTTAAGGTCAAATTCAATATTAAAAATTTTAAATTATTTCTTAATAATTTTTGGCAAACTCAAAATTTACTTTATATTGACATTTTTGAGCAATAGTTTCAGGTTTTATTAGAGAAATATCATAATACTAAAAATATTTATGTAATACTATCTATTTATCTCAGAAATCTTAGATTTATGCATTTATAAAATGAACTTTTACAACTAGAATGCAATCTATCCAGTATGTGAAATTTATTGTCTGAAGCGTAGCGGAGGATATTAATGGTTAGACACATTGTAATGCAAGGTATGTCTGTCTGTACACGTGATTAACCAATAGGATGTATTGTTGATCATGTATTGATTATTATCACGTGATCAGATTTCAGTGACGCGCCTGACACGTGATTAATATTCGTAATAAATTAAGCTTTTGTAATAAATTAAGCTTTACAAATAAATTTTAGTTAAACTTTCTAATTTGATATGTTTAAACGAATACTTTGGACATTATAATGGCTTCCATTATCTAGTTAATAGAGTAATTTATAAAGCAATTGCTTTAAGTTCTAATATAGCTAATATAGTTGAAATATTAGATCTTTAAATGCAAAAAGAAGATTTAAATAAAAGTTTTATAGAATAAAAATATAAATCTACAGCATATTATTAGCCATTTGTTATTAAAAATTTTTTCAACAATATTAGCAATTTGATTTAAAAATATTATTTTTTACAAATTGTTGAAGAAGTTCACAAGTAAATGTATAAATCTGTACTTTATAAATATGAAAAAGTAGATATCAATGATGTTTTTGCTTATGATTATGATCAATTGGTAAGTTTTATTAGAAGATTCTATTAGAAGATATGTTCATATGGGATTAAGATTAGATTAAGGTATAAAGTTAAGGGATTAAGATTAAGGTATGAAATTAGAGCTAATTTATATATTGAATTAAAAATATATAACAATTGTATTGATTTTAACCAATTTTAATTTAGAATTAAGTTGATCAGTAAAATTTAAATGCAAATCATGGTTATGAGAATATTAGTAATAATGAAATGGTATATACTTTACAGAAACCTTGAATTTTTAAACAATACCGAATTGATATAATAATGATGTTAAATAAATATCGTGGTGATATCGATTTGCAAATGATATCATTATGATATCGCAATGATATCATTTCAATATTAATTCAATATATCGAAATGATATCGTAAAGATATTTGTTTGAAAAAATATCAGATCGATATCATTTCGATATTGTTATAACAA